ACCCTGGTGCTGCCAGGTGCTGTTTTCTGAGCCGTCTGGGGGTGACTGAGGAATGCGGTGTGCCGCTGGTGGTGCCTGCCGTTCTGGGAAAAGGGCCGGGGCTGCGGGGTTTTCCCCTCAGTCACCACAACTGAACTGAATTCCAGAGGCACAAAATGGAGGCGGGGGGAGGGAGCGCTGCTCGCCAGCTTACTGACCGCTCCTCACTGAACGGACCAACGCCGCTCCACTGGCGACTCCTCAGGGGAAGGGGGAACATGCGGGCAGTGAGCCCCGTGGCAGACTCACTCCCAGCAGTTATGTGCATTAATTAATAAACTGTAGCTTTATTCTCTGCACTTTAGGCTGCGCTGTAGCCCCTTTGCACTGGGACGTGCCTGTGACAACGTCCAGGGAGGAGGTTATCCGTTGTGTGTTGGGGTCCCAAGGCCTCTTGGGGATCCCTGGGGGGTTCTGGAGCATCCCAGTGCTGCTCACAGGGCTGCAGGGAATTTCTGTTGCATTACCGTGTATGCTCTGGGCTGTTGGTGGCATTGTCCATCATCTGGTGGGCATCCAGGGCCCCTCCAAGACTGTGAGAGGTCACCAGGCCGCTCCTGGGTTTGCTCTCTGCACCCCCCGGGTATGTCTGGGGTGAAGTGCTGGGCCCCCAGAGGCAGTGCCAGGAGATAGATAGGCTTTGCACAGAGTGAGGGGCTGCCTGCAGACGTCCCATAAGCTACCCTCAGTCTCACAACGTGTCTTATGGCTCCTGTGGTGGGCAGCAGGGCCCTTTGTTTGTATTTGGGTGTGCCCCCAAGCTCTCTTGTGTGCTCCCAGGCCCTGCATACATCTTGCAGCAGGCCACCAAGTTTTTTATGTGGCTTTCTCCTGTCCCAGAGTTTTCCTGGTGAGTTTTGGTGTGCTCCAGGGTCCTCTGTTTTCCCTTTGATATGGTCCAAGGATTCCGCTGTCATCCCCTGATCTTCTCTGCTTGCACCCTAGAGCTCTCCATTTGTTGTTTTGTCCCTGTGACAACACTTCTTTTTCTCCTTCCTGTTCACAGAAGGACCTTCCCAGTAGCTTTCACCAAGGTGCTCTCAGGAGTTGGGGCACTCCTGCTGCTCCAGCTGTGCCTGAGGAGGCTGCTGGCCAGGGCCTCCTGTTCC